AAACATGGTTGCCTGGACTAATTTAGCGGACTTCACTCATGCTCTTCCAGATTTGTTCGGAGTCTGCTCTGAACTTGGCCTGGAGAAGTGTCCACTAACTGAGAAAAGCTAGTCTCCTGCTTCCTTTGAAAGACAAAACTTTCTTCAAACTGGACCTACTCAAGTTGTGTGTTACTGATTTATAAGACAGTGCACCCTGAACCGTAACAGCGTGGTGCGTGGAGACCTGCTCTGAGTAGTCCTGATTGCGCAGCTGCTGGTGCAGAGTTAAAGCTGTTGCGTTCCCAGTGCTGTAAACATGGGCTGTTGGCGTGACCTTGATGCAGCTCTGGCTTGCTCCCCCTACCCTGGGGATAACCAAGTTTGTCCTCTTTGTGCATGTCCATTTCTGCAAAGTGTAATGGAAGTGGTGGACTTTATTAGATGGAAAGAGAAGAGCTGCCAGGCAGGTTTTATCACAGAAATCAAATATACTCATTTATTTCTCTGTATGTAACATTTGGTCATTTTTTATTCTCTGACCTTGGGTCCTTTACAGAAGAAATATTATGCTAAAAATGGATGAAAGGAAAGTAAGACTCAGAGGAGGAAAGTGCATTGTTTAAAGCCCCGAGCAGGTTGAAGCATGAGCTGCAAATGCGATTCTTATGTCCCGAAACTTGACTGTGTGCTACGCCCCATTGCATTGCAAGGTTGAAGTTTCTTGTAATGGCAAAATATGGTCTTGAAAAAAAAATGGCTGCAAAGATTTTATTTGTTTAAACAAAGGCTTTGTGATTCCAGAATTCTCTCCCCTTTCGTATGCTATAAACCACCTCCTCCGCCTCCCCTCTGAAATATGAATTTTGGAGTAATCCATCAAGAAAAAGAGAGACAGAGCCTTGATCCCTTGACTTCAGTTGAGCTGTGCAATTTATATCTACTGAAAAATTCTGCAGAGACTCTAGGTATACAAATGAGCGTGGGCTGTCAGAGCTGAGAAATGGGGCAGAGATGCCAAGAGGTTTCTTTGCTGTTTTGCACAAAACTCTGACCTGCGGCCCCATGGTGAAAGTTGGCCTGTTTTTTTTTACTCTCCTCAGTGCCACTGTGATAATTGTGCTGAAATCATTAGAGCCCCATTGGTATAAAGCCGTTATCACACCTTTCTTGTTTCGAGTGAGGAGTTTGAAGACTTGTGGGGCTTTCAGCCTTGAGCAGCTGAATTGTGCAACTATTTAATCATGAAATTATGCAAACGCTGCTCAAGCCCTGCAAAGCTGGAATGCTAAGTTAGCAAGGCACCTGAAGTCAGTCGTTCACTGCTGTAAGACGCTTGTTGTAGGAGCGTATCCTTGTGGAAGCCACAGGCTTACAGCCCGGTGCCTGTTTGCAAAGCTGCAGCGCTGGAGGCACTGGCTCAGCCTTTAATCGAAGATCGGTCAAATGTAGCAACCATTAGATCAGGGTTAAGTGGGTCACTGCTGGCACAGGGTACATGACTTGTTATTTTTCAGCATGCCGAGTCTACCACATCTCTGATACGTTAGACTTTTCTTTCCCTTCAGTTGCATTGCTTTACCCACGCAGCCGGAGAGGGGGAATGGGAGGGCGGGAAGGGAGAGGTGTGCTAGGACAGTAACAGCGAGACATTATGGAGACGGACTGGGTGTCATGCGATATGCTGGTACAGTCTCATGTTCATTATCTCAATTATTTATCCTCCCTGCTGGAACACTTCTAAAACAAATCCTACCATGTGTTTTGAGGTTGGGCTTCATAGAGTGAAATCACAGCTCCTTTCTCGGAGTTTAGCTGGAAAAATACAAATCTGCCAACTAGGAATATGAGGGAAATAAACTGTGGTTCTGTGTAGCAACAAATGATGGATTTCTGCAGATATGGAAAGCGTCTGCTCTGGAGTTCCAGGTCAGAGAGTATGTGTATTTGCCCCAACGTTATATTTGTTGCATGTGAAATAATGATGTGAGATTCTCAAGCTCGTTTTAATAAAGCAGACTGCTTTCACCCTGATCAGAAAATTCAAGTTCACAGTCCCAGGCCTTGGAACCACCAGCCATCAGGATTAGACACTAAATACTTCAGTGCATAGTAGTCAGGGAAGATACTTATTACCTTGATTTGTCACCACCATTCTCAGGCTTTCTGCAAGGACAGATAATGACCCCAGACCTTGAAGCAGCCTGGTCCCCAGTGTGTTGTGAGCGAGCTTTGAACGTAGTGTCTGTAACTGCAGCGCTGACCATTCATCTCTGTGTTTGAAAGCATCGTCCGTCTGTTGGTTAGATAAACAAATGTCAGAAGGATTTTTTGGCAGGATGACCAACAGAAGATCTTTTGCATTAGGATGTCCACTTTCTGGATTAGTTAAATGTCTTTTGGGTCCAGGCTAAGTACCTTGGGTGTGGATCTGGGTTTCCAGGCATTTCATGAAGGAAAGGATCAGAGTTCAAATCCAACTTGAGCTTAAGTAGTTCTCTTTCTGACCTGTGTTGTGTTTTCTATATGTTTCAGCAGATGTCACTGACATGAAGATGATATTAGTACAAATCTCACCATGCAGTGGCACTGCTGTTTCTTCCCCCCATCTGTCATTTTGTTCATTTAAATCTAACCTTGTGCTGCAAACACACGAGAGGGCTCTTTGAGACACTCTTCAAGAGCAGAGAGGGCTGCTGGACTAGTGCTGTTGGTACATTCTGTCCGGCAGAAACTATCAGAGTATCCTCCCCCCTGGGAGCTGGTTGATTCACCCCTGTGCAGAGGGGTAGTACAAGCCCTTTTTTATGAGCTGAACTCTCCAAAGATAGCTTAAATGATCAATCCAACTCAAATTATGCACAGAGATGGTTTTCAGACAGTTCAAGTCAGTCTCTCTAAACCTATGGGAGTTATTAATATGTGCAAGCCAGCAGAAGGGAGAATAGGACTCCATATTTTATTTGCTCTGTAACACATCTGGTACGCCTTTTGGCTCTTGGGAGCACTGGATTTATTCAGTCTTATCTTTCTATGGGGATGAGCAAGATCAAAAGCATGAAGCCGGTTACATGCAGAATGTAATTCCCTATTTTACACACCACAAGCAGATCCAGACCAAACAAGACTCACCCATTTCCTTCCCTGTGGGACAACGCACTTATGGCACTTGCGTATTCATGGGCCAAGTCAAGCCAAAAAATATTGTCCAAGATCTATTGCAGAGAATAAAAATAAACAAATATTATTTCCTGTTGGGTGAAAGAAAGTCCACGTCAGTATTGACCTGTGAGGAAATCCCTCAATCTAAGTGTTTCTGAACCATCAGATGTCTGATGCTTTGTCTGCAAAATGTTGGGTATTGTGAGGTGGAAGCTCTATGTCTAGCTCCTTTGAGAAGCTATGCAGCTCCTCATAGACAGTCAATGAGAGAATTTTTTTGGAAGGTTTATGCAGTGGATGATTGGTTGCTGTTAGCACTCAAGCAATCTTCTTAGACTGTAAATCACTAACGTGGAACAGCCAAGCTTCCTGGCCCTCTGAGCCATGCGCTAAAATCTTTGCATGGCTGAGAGCCATCAGTACATACCATGTGCTTCATAAAACTGGAAAGTGTTTGTGGATGAAGATTGGAGAGATTCCTTGGGGCTCCTTGTACAAAAGGGGACAAAGCTTCTTAGGGGGGACAGCTGAGTCCCAGGTGTCAGGGTGATGTTTAGTCAGGCCAAAACCCACATTCACCCATTTGTCCCCGTAGGTAGGCACTGGGTTTACTCAACATCCCCTGCATCAGTACAACCTCAGCCTGAGCTGCACATGGATGGTCTATTAAGGAGCTCAAGAATCACAGGTCAGCCTCCCCAGCCCTACAGAAATACCAGGATTAAATACTTCTTCTGTGGCCAGTCAGTGAAAACTGGCTCTGGCCCTTAAGGAGCCCAGAAACGCACACAGAGATGTATTTCTCCTCTGTGGGACATGAGATGGCAGTGATTCATCACCTGAATATGGATCGTTTATTCTCTGAAATACTTCATGCTGCAAGTCATTTTCCCTTTTTAAAAACTGCTGTGCTTCAGAAGTCACAATAGGTGAGTGGTCCAGTCTGGAAAGCTTCTCAGAGAGCTAGGAATGGGCAGTTCAACACTGCTGCAAAGCACTGGGAAAGTGACTGTCAGTTCAGGGCTTTATCCTCCTTCACTTGCTTTAAAATTGCTGAAATGAAAACAGAGGCAAAGCAGCAGACCTTCTGTTGACTTAAGTGATGTCCTTTGTATCAAGCAATGATTTTAAACTGTACTCAGAGCCCATTATGTTAATGTTTGTTCTTGCTAAGGCATCCTGTCAAGACCCCTTTGGTGGTTGCTACCTATCTGTTGCTTCTATGCAGCAAAGTGAGATGGAAACCACTTCATGCTGCAGCTCCGGTCTGCATCAACCTTGGGGTCTGTCTTGGATTTTCGTGCTGTCAGACAGATGATTTATTGTGGAAGTGGTAACAGGGCCTGGGAGTCCAGGAATGGAGCAGGATTCCACAGAGATGGGCATTTTGTATGTTCATTGATTTTCTCGGTATTTGACCAGGACCTAGTATAGGAAAGGGTATAGCACAGAGCTAAATGGAAGTAGTGGTTGTGCAGCCTGAAGTCCTGTGAGGTGGCAGCACGTGCCACACCAGCTTGCACCACTGGCAGAACAAGTGTCTCTGCTGGTGACAACAGGTCATGCTGGTTGGCACCATGAAAAGTCTTACAACTAATTTTTTTCTTCACCTACCTTCTACCTATTGGGAACTTGGTTTCACACTCTGCCCCACTAAACAAGCCCAAACAAGGTTCATGTGGCTGTGGCTGTTTACCTGTGCAATGGGTTTGAATACTTATTTTCCCCCCATAACTGATCTTGAGTCACTTTTCTGTGTGTCTTGGATCAAAAAAGGATCAGGGTCTGCAGGCTGAAAGCCGTGGATTAAAATGCAAAGTATGTAGAAATTTTACATCATTTTGTTTTGTTCTTTCTAGAATGCATGAACTGCACGAGACTAGCAGATATGACCGAGAGGCTAAATACACTTGAGGCCAAGGTAAGGACCTGCCTTTATTCTTCTGTTTGGCAAAAATTTCCAAGAGTTGCTGCTGAAAAAGATGTTGAGTTGGCAGCCCTGGAGAGATCAGGTGTCTGTTCTTCTGTCCACAGCGAGGAACACGCTGTGGTGGTGGCCCTGCCCCAGGGAACGAGGGCAGCGTTGCTGTGCACGTGGGCATCGCTCACCTCTGGCCTGGCTCCTTCTGCTTCCTGCACATCCTCTTCAGCTTCGCTCTGCCACACAGCTGCATCTCTGTCTCCCTTCTTCCCTGCTGTCACAAATGTGCAGCTGCTAATAAATAATAAATAGCTCATTGCTCTTGACTGGAACACGTTGGCTCAGGCTTTGCTCCAGAAACAGAGGGCAGACGGAGCTGTGTGAAAAATCTCTTGCCTTCAGCTGGTTGATAATGTGGGGATGTAAAGCAGTGATTCCCCTGGCTCAGGAAAGAAGCAGACTCCAATTCTGGTCTCTCTCACTAAAAACGCCTTGTAGAAACCTTACCAATGTAGAGTGCAAAACAGAGTAGTAATGGTATGTAGATTTTTCTAAGAATAGTTGTTCATTAGCGTGCTCTTCAAGTGCTATCCAGTCTTGCTTTTTTATCCCTTTTCTGAAAGATGGGAGGGTTTCATGCATGGTTTAGTGGAGACAAATGTTAAGGGGAGACCTACAAGTTGTGGGGGTGTTTTCTGCAAATTGTCTTAATTTCTACCTACTGGGATTCAGATAAGTTGTTCCAGTCTAGCAACAAAACAGCTGAATCAGTCTGTCCACTTTGAGCTGTGGTCCCCCCTGTGACAGCCCAGTCCTGGCTGTTAGATATGGTGCTTTGGTCCCTTTAAGGCATTGCGCTGCTGTTACTATTCATTAACTGCTGGTTATCAATGACATAAAAGCATTTGGGGAGAAACCTTTGTGGAGGGGGGGTGTGGATGCGTGGTGTTTTTGAGGCCAGTGCATGATATTATGGTAATTTGGGAATTGTCTGTGCTGAAATGGAGTGAGCAATGTTGTCTGGAACTTCCTCAAAGCCTTCACAGTTGTATTTCACTTAGAGGAAAATGAAGGGGTGGGGGGAATGAAATTCTGGGGAGCAGAATTGTTCGAGTGAAAACAACTGTTGTAGTGCAAAGGACAAAGATGAGCTGGATTGTTTTTCCAAGCAGCAGGACCTGGCAGGTGGGTGTTCTTTGGCAGCGAGGAGCTGGAGGCGTTTGGAGAGGAGAGAGGGGCTGGTGACTGACCTCTGCGTGTGCAGTCCCGAATCCAAGTAAGACATGGGACCAGCCTCAGAGAGATGTAAATCAGCCCTCCCATGCTCATCCCGTAGCCAGCTGTACCTTCCTTCGCTTTCCAGGGCTTTCTGTATTTGGCTCACTGGGAAATGATAACCAAAGACTGTCCTGACATCAGAGCATCAGTGCTCTGCTGGCTTGTGCTGCTCAGCACTTGTGTTGGGTAGCAAAGCGTAAGACGCTAATGGCAACCTCAGGCGGGGCCCTGGCAGGACTTCATGGAAGAGGAAGGAGGTCCTACCTACCCAAATCCCCTCGAGAAGTCTTAGCCCAAGAGTGAAACTGCACCCAGGTCAGTGGGTTTGTCTTACAGATATGAAGCTGGTTTAAATTGGGTGACACTCCCATCACCTGAAAGCAATCTGCTCTCTGGTGTTGGCGTCAACTGCCAGATACCCACGGTATTTGGGAAGTGCTGCCTGCTTGCCTACTGCATGGGAGCTCTAGTGAAGGCAGGAGCCTGTTGTCTCCTACTCTAACCTAGGATACTTGTGCAGGAACTGGCATTTGTCTCCTGACTGGCAAACCTGACATGCTGTCCTTAGGAAATGCTTCCTATGTTGGCAGCCATATGGCTGCAACCTGCTCTGTGTTCAGGAGGGAGCACTGCGTCACCATCAACAAACACAGTGTTGATGGCTGGAGATTTCGTAGTCTTGCAGACCTTCCGACATGAGGAACAGGGAGGCGAATGCCTGCAAAGTTCAGTGCCAAGATGTAGCTAGCCAGACCCTGGAGATGATACCTGAAGGATTTTGGTACTGCCTCAGTCCCAGCCATAGCCAAGACCACACCACCTCCTCTCTGCCTTCTTGGGAGTGGGGCTTTGGGTAACTTGATTCTTGTCAGCTCTTGATCTTGGGCATAGTGCGTCATGTCTCTGTTTTAGTGCTGCAGTGAGGCAGTTTGTGTTGTTGCTGTGATGGCTTTCCTTCTGCGTTTACTATGCTCCCACAGAGACCCAAGTTGGGAGCAAAGCTCATCAAAGGGTTTACTTTTACACAGGGAAATGAGTTATTTCTTTCTATTGTGAAGTACTAAAGCCCATATCTCTGCAAGGGTGCCTTCTGCAGCACAGCCCAGCAATGTCATTATCAATCTTTTGGATTCCACTTAGTTTGAAAAGCTGTGGGTGCTGTGCAAAAATTGATTGTAGCAATTAAATGGAGAGTGAAGCAACATTACCCGAATGCTGGTGCTGTTCGCAAGAGAAATATGCTGATTCACCCTTTTTTCAAGGTTAATTTAAGTTCAGTTTGATCTATGTAGCAATGTCATGACCTCAGTTGTTGTTATTCAGTAATAGCTAGCACCATTAAAAGGTGCTTGAATTTGTTTAGTATTGTCTGTATTCCTGCTCTGGATTTTGGAGGAAGATTTCTATTTTGCTGGATGATCGGGATGTGAAGTTGTCTCTGAGCTCTCCAGACTGTTGTCTTGTAATGTCTTATTTCACCACAACAACAGCCTGAAGCTGGTCGGAGGAAGACAGGAGCCATGGGATGGGCACACACATCCCTTACCAGTGTTGGCGACTGATCCCCCCGATTTTTGGTGTCTTGTTCTGCCGAAGCAGATGTGGAAGTTCATCCTTCCTATGAGCGGAGATGGATTTTCCTGCCACAGTCCTGCTCCTTCTGGAGACAGCTGAAGTTGAGGAGCTTTGCTGCTTTTGCTCTTTTGAATTTCAGCCCGGCGTGACCATGGTGAGCTCAGGGAATGGCAAAGGGTAAGATCAGCCAGCTCAGCAGAGCCAGCCAGCTTCAAGCAGGTCAGGCCATTGGCACCTGCTGTAAGGGCTTTTGAGGCATGTGGAGCCTGTGTAGACTTGTTACAAGTACTACAAGGTCCAATGGTGAGAGCAAATGTGTGGAAAGCTACCTCTGAAGGCACTGTGGACCTGGGCAGATCGGTGCTAGGTGAGAAGTTTTGCTTTAATAGAGTAGGTTAGAGACAAGCAAAAAACAATCTCTTCCTCACACCTCTGCAATGGGGACAAGGAGCCAAAACCCTTTCTTGGTTATGGCCAAGGATATGTAAAGTGCATGTTTGTCCTCCAGTGGCTGTGAAAGGCAAGTTAAGGAAACTTAAACTCAGTCATGGAAGAAGATGATACAAGACTCTGGTTTCTTCTTTCTCCACTCTTCTTCTACAGGCTTTTATAGCTGTCCCCCTGAAAAACGGGGATATAACCAGGAATGGTCTCATCTTTCTTATTACAAGGATGAGTTGGTTTATCCAACTTGTAAGATCAGTGTCCAAATGAGGTAATAAAAGTAACCCTCTGATTTTTGTAATATGAGAGTTGGATCAGAAAGCAAGAAGCAAGAATAAACACAGAGCAAATGGAATGAAGAATGACTCATTAGAGACTGGTGCTTATAGAGCCCTTGGGGAGGAGAGAGACTCTGAGACATGGCTGAACCATGCAGCAGAACAAACTCTTCATGTGTCTCATGCTTCCCTTAACGCTGCTCTAGGTTGTCCTTGTGGCTGTAGGAGATGTTTCTGCAGGAGAGGAGATGAAAGGAGATGGAATCAGGTTCCATCCTCGTCTTCCCTGTTTCGAGTTACCCTGTCATCTCCCAAGGATGGAGTTGGCCTGTTCTATTTGCTTGATACCAGACCCATTTGGGTGCCAGAGATTTGAAAGCTTGATTGATGGTGTTGAGCTTGAAATGTACAGGCCATGGCAATCTACGTCAGGGAGGATGGTGTTGAGTCTGGGGTCAAGGACAAGAAAGTGTGCAGGCCAGAAGAAAACTATCCCCTCCCCAAGCCCCAACATGCCAAACCTTACTTCTCTCCCATGACATCTTACTTGACATCACTACAGCACCCCCTGACCCTGCGGGGAGGCTCATTGGTGGGAGGGCAGAATGAACCCTGCTTTTATTTCATATGAAAGGTTTCTCCTTAGGCCAGCATGGCTTCTTAGTGGGAAGAGTGTACAGCCCTTCCTTTCTGAATTTCCTGAGCCTGACGCTGCCCTCCTGTGTTACAGGACTAAGCCCAGACAAACTCCACCAAAGCTCAAGAGAGCTGCAGTGTCAGGAGAGAGGGGCACCGCTGCCCACAGCAGGCAGTGCTAGCAGGAAAGCAGGCAGCTGCATAAAAATTTCTGCTCATTTTGTTAGCCCAGTTTCTTTTAATAAACTCCACCACAGAGCTATGGGCAGTGCTATATTAGTCCCAGCTTTTGGTTGGAGCTTGAGTGCAGCATTTGATCTGAGTTGATATAACCCAGTCTTATCTCCTGACACTGCGTTTGAGAAGATCGTGGCATTTCACTTACAGCTTTAATGCAGGGAGATAACGTTGCATATCTAGTGTCTGATTGATTCATTGTGTGATTGATAAATGACATGCATATTTTTCGCATGAAAACAGTCCTTGTAATGTGATTCTCCATACAGAAGATTCTGAAAGGTTTTAAAGAAAATCTTTGTATTGTGCGCAGAGTTTGATCAATACATTGCTATTTATATGAAATCACCCCATTTATTTAGAACGGATTACCTCACAACACCTTCACTACCCTGTGTCTTTTGATTATGAAGGACCATTACTCGGGGTTTTAATGTAATCATAGTATGAAATGTTTCTATATCTCCCCCTTCTTCCAAGCAGCTACATGAAATACTGGCAGCTGTCTGGGATGTTTTATGGGGTTTGTCTTTTCTTTCTCCGATAGACAAT